ACATATTGTCAGGAGGGACTAGTAACTGAGAAGGATATCATGTTTGGTAAGGTGGAGGGTCAGAGAAAAGGAGGAAGACCCCCAGTGAGACAGATTGGCCAAGTGGTAGCATCGATGGACTCAAGCGTGGCAACAGTAGTAAGGTTGGCCCAGGATCAGGTAGTGTTTCGTTCTGCTGTGCATAAGATTGCTATGAGTCAGTGCTGACTTGATGGCACCTAACAACAACAATAATATCCATGATGAACGTGTTCCTAGAACAATCAACTATATGAGACCGAAAGAGGAAAATTTATCCTAAACCAAAGGTAAGAGGACAGGGAAAGACGGGCAACCAGATGAATAAAAATAGGAAACTTTGGGAGGAAATAGGAAGAGTACTGACAACCTCACTGCTGGATCAGTAAATAACATCTATATAAATGGAGAGAAGATTGAAGTTGTCAAAGACTTCATTTTGCTGGGATCAACCATCAACACTTATGGAAACAGCAGTCAAGAAATCAAATGACATACTGCATTAGGCAAATCTGTTGCACAAAACGTGTTTAAAGGCGTCAAAGAGCAAAGATGTCAGTTTGAGGATTAAAGTGCACCTGACTCAAGCCATGGTATTTTCAATAACCTCATATGTATGCAAAAGTTGGGCAATGAATAAGAAAGACCATAGAAGAGTTGATGCTTTTGAGTTATGGTGTGCGAGGAGAATATTGAAAGTGCCATGGGCTGCCAAAAGAACAAACAAACCTGTGTTGGAAGAAGTACAGCTAAGAGGCACCTCAGAAGCCAGGATGGCCAAACTTCGTCTATCATACTTCAGACATGTTGTCAGGAGCAACCAGTCACTGGAGAAGGATATCATGTTTGGTAAAGGGAAGAGTGGAAGAAAAAGAGGAAGACTCCCAAAGAGATGGGTTGGCCCAGTGACAGCATCAATGGATTCAGGCATAGTAACAATTGTGAGGTTGGCCCAGGACCAGACAGCGTTTCCTTCTGTTGTGCATAGGGTCACTATAAGTCAGTATCAACACAATGACACCTAGCAACAACAACTGACACATGGGAGATTGCAATCAATGTCACAGGAACAATTTGTGCATCAATTCTTAATTGGAAAACCAATTTATTATGTAAGCTTTCACCTAAAGCACAACAAAATGTTCAAAAAGAAAACCTTATGAAGCATAGCTTTGTTCTGACAGACAAGTTGGAGTCAACCCTACAGCAACTGTTCTTCTTTTTTCTTTTTATGGGATAGTTAAAGCAATAAGAAAAAAAGCTCTGGTGGTGCAGTGGTTAAGCACTTGAATGCTAACCAAAAGGTAAAGAGTTCAAATCCACCACTAGCTCTGCAGGAGAAAGATGAGGTATTTACTGCCATGAAGATTTACAGCCTTGGAAAGCCTACTCTGTCCAATGAGGTTAAAATGAGTTGGAATTCTCATTTCATCAACAATGGGTAAGATATACTAGTCTTGTCCCTGGGTGACACAAACAGTTAAACGCTTGACTGCTTGCAGGAAAGTTGATGATTCGATCCCATCTACAGACACTTCTGAAGATGAGCCTGGCAATCTGCTTCTGAAAGGTTACAGCCTTGAAAACTCTATGGAGCATTTCTACTCTGCACAGAAGAGTTCACTATGAATGGAAGTCACTCAGCGATAACTAGTAACAACAACAATACTCCAAACCTACTAGGCAGTTACCTCTATAGGCCAGGAACATCTTGTTAGGGTGGTTGTCTTGTTTATAGCTCTTTAACAAGCTGCCTTCTGCCTTGTGAGCCATGGGCACATCCATGAACACTGAAAGACTGGGCATAATTGAGATGAAAGTGGAGCCAAGACTATGGCTTTGCTCCTATGCTCTTTGTCTTTGCTTCTGCGGGGATCTTTCCTCCAAACCTGGGCCAGACAGGTCTGACTCTTCACAGAGCCTTGGCAACTCAAGCACAGAGTGTCCAGACAACTGGTTACCAGAGCAACAGAACCTCACAACTCCCAGTCTCTGAGATGGCGATCTTTAAGGGCCACAAGAACATTCCATGGCACTTGAAGAGAATCCCCTGAGAGAGTGGGCAGGGGAGGCAGCGAGGGAGGACATGAAATTCCCAGGCACTCTTCCCCGACTCTCGTAAGTCTGTTCTCTAGCCCCATGTCTTCCAATTAAAAATGACATGGCAGACCCTTCGAAGATAGGACAATAAGGCAGCAGCCGGTGAGCCAGTTGAAGGCTTCCTCCTGCCTTGAGAACCTTAGACTAAGCAGCAACACAAGTTGAGGGATACATTTTTAAAGTTTCTATTTTCATTTTGCAAAGGACCCCACATTTTAAAAGGAACAGAAAGAAAGCATTCTGAAGAACGAGTTCTATGTTTAGAAACAGTATAATTTGCAATTTGTTAAGCTGGCCTGCTCTGTTATCTAGAACCAAGATTTGTACATAGTTAACAGTTTCAATGTTAGTTGCTCAGTGGTCCAACACTGTAGAAGGCAAAAAAGACCAAGGGAAAAATAGTCATCCTCTATAGGGTTAATCTTGTACATTTTTTGTAGTTTTTAATAAATTTTTTATGAGCTAATAAACAGCCATCTAAGATACAACTATTGGTCTTTCCCTGTTGAGAGGAAAGAAAAATGAAGACAAAGATTCAAGGAACCAATTAGTCCAAAGGATTAATGGACCATGCCAACCACAACCTCCACTACCCTGAGACCAGAAGAACTAGATGGTGCCTGGCTACCACTACCAAAAGCTTTGATTCGAACCACAGAAGGTCCTGGACAGAATGGGAGATACATGTAGAACAAAATTAAAAATCATAAAAAAAATACTAGAGTTACTAGTCTGACTGTGGCCTTTACATATCCTCCAAACCTGAAACTACACCCATCCTTGGGGATCATGTTGTAACCAAACAGCAGATAGGCTTATGGAGGGAGCAGTAACACTCATGAGAAATGTAAAAGGGTTATAAAGTGAATAACACTAATAAGGAATATATTCTTCAGAGCAATTAACCACATAAGACCTAAAGGGCAGTGTCTGACCCAAGTCAGAACTCAGAAGGCAAGAAGTGGCCGGAAAGAAGGACCAGTGGACAAAGAAAACCAAGGGAGGAAGTAGAAAGAGTACTGATACACTGCGAATTGTAACTGATGTTTTGGAACAATATGTGTAAAAATTATTGAATGGAAAATTAATTTGCTTGGTAACTTTCACCCAAACTAATATAAATAAACGAATCAAGTAAGGCTAAGTAAAATAATAAGAGAATTTCTATGATTGTTGTAGAAACTATTGGTATGTCACCCAGGTAACTTTTACCACATCCAGTTGCTGCTGTGCTGGTGGATAAAGGATTGCTTTATCCTGTTTCCTCTCTGAAGAATAGTCCTTCACTGTCAGGGGCCAGTTTACCTGATAAGGTTATATCTTCACCAACAAAAGTAGTCAATTACTGCCTGGTGTAGTTAGTTTTTCTTGAAAGGTAGTAGCCCTTTCATAAATCATATGCATCCAAATCCCTCTCTGTCTGTACTTCCAGGGACCCTGTCTTGAAACAATGGTTATGAAAGTAATCCATATTACTATAGAAAATGTTAAAAAAAAATCACCATGTAAGACACAAATTTCCTACAATCAATCTACACTCCAGTTAACATTTGGAATACCTCCTTTCATTTTCTTTTCTATTGCAATTCGTTCAGTTAGTCTGTTCTGATATCTAGAACCAAGATTTGTACATGTGTTAACAGTTTCATTGAGAGCTGCTCAGTGGTCCAACAGTGTAGAAGGCAAAAGGGACAAGATATAAATATTCATCCTCTATAGGATTAATCTTGTACCTTTTTTCCATTACTCAGAAATTTGATTATATTTTCTTCATTGAACATTTCAGTTGTGAGTATTTTAACATTAGCCCTTTATATGAAACAAATAAAAATTTAAAAAACACCCAAACTAACTTGGGCAAGAGAGAGTAGGTATTCCTGGGGACTCAGAGACAGTGACTGGCCACAGAGGACTAGAGCAGAGAGTGAAGTGTCCAGCTGATATGAAGTGAGGGGAGATGCACAAGAACATCCGTATTTGCAAATAGTACCCACTTGACCTGACTTCAAAGGCTGGATGATCAGAACTCGACTAGAAGAAGAAAGAAGAGGAAAAACGAGTAATCCATGAAAATTTGATGAACTTGACCTATACTTATGGATGTAGTAGCTCAAAAGAAGGAACAAATCTTTACAACGAGAATCACTCCCACCCCCCTCGGTTCACAGGGTTGACAGGGATGGGCAATTTAGACATTGGCTATTCAAAATGGGGGGACTACAAAGACAAGAGTGACTGGCTTACAAGCTTTCAAGAGGGAGCCTAGTTCCAGAGGGGGTGGGGGAAGGTAGAATCTCCACTGAGTTGTTTCCAATATGTTGGAAGGGGGCTGATGAAAGGAGATAGGGATAGGACTCTTGTGGTACAATAGTGAATAATTGCCATCAGGACTGACTGTGAGGGTCAGAAAGGTAAAGGTAGATGGTTTCTAACAAAAGGAGGGGAGTGGTTGATTTTGCAGTCCAGGAGTGGACGTCCCTGTGACCATCAACTAAGAAGAGCAGAGTGCGGGACCCTACCCAGAGAAGCAGTGACACCAGAAATGGAAGCAGATATGATGACATGGAGAGATGGAGCTGCTGGGGATTCTGGACTCAGGGAGGGAGAGGGGCTGTGTGCTGATGGCTAGGGGGCAGACTTGTGGTACCCTTTGGTTGTTTGATGATGTGTGGAGGGGATTGTAATCATTGCAATGAAACAATATATGATAGGATGAATGTAAAGTTAATGTTCTCCCATGTAAACTATCACATAATTCACAATAAAAACTTTTTAAAAAGAAAAAGAGAGAGTAGGCATTGACTCTCATAGCAGGCCAGTCCAGAATACATCTGACTTCTATCATAGTTCAGTCCAGATTTTCACAGCAGCAGCAGGGCTCTAGCTTCCTTCTCCATGATTCTCTTGGCTCTTCTCTCCAGCTGTGTTCTGGCTGATTCTGGTCATGGGAGCAAAAGCACACAAGAGGAATTGTCATGGCAGCTTACTGAAGGAATGATTAATTAATTTAACCATGGGATAGCTATATAATGGAATTCACCATAACTGTTATAGGTAGCGTAGTGGTTACAAATTGGGCTGTGAACCGCAAGGTCAGCAGTTGGAAACTACCAGCTGTTCCGCGGGAGAACGACGAGGCTTTCTGCTCCCGTAAAGATTTACAGCCTCAGAAACCCTGTACAGGGTCGTTATGAGTCAGAGCTAACTCCACGGCACAGAACCACTATAATTATGTGTACAGATGTGGGAAATTCTCTAAGATACATCATAAATTGAAAACAAAGGAGATACAGAGTAGTGAGAAAAGTGGGGCATTTGAGTGAATTAATACATTGAAATTTTCTGCCTGGAAGAATACACAAGAAGCAGGCAACTGGGATTGCCTCTGGAAAGTGGAACTGGGTGACTAGTAGACAGAGGATCAGGAGGTAGCCATGCTTTTCATGTTATTTTATTTTGTACCTTTTCAATCTTAAACCTTGTGTATAGGTTTTTTATTGCTTTTTTTTTTACTTTGTGTTGTGAATCAAATGAAGGTTCACAGATGAGATCATCAGTTTTATAGTCAACAAATCATATTATTTGTGTCATCTCAATGATTACAATCCCCTCTATGCAAAAATAGTAACCCTACTTCCTCCCTGTGGTTCCTGTTTCCATTCTACTCACTTTCCCATCCCTTCTCAACTTTGTCTGTAAGAAAATGTTGCCCTTTTAACTTTTGAATGATTGACCAGTTGATGTGACCACACCTTAGTAGTGTTGTTGTTCCTTATATATACCTATCTACTACTTGGCAGAAAATTGGGCCACAAGGGTGAGTTCCTTTCCAGACCTGAAGGGTGGTGGAGGGCCAGTCTCAGGTTCTTCCAGTCTCTCTTTGACCAGTATGCCAGTCTTTTTTAAAAAATAATTTTGAGTTTTATTCCACATTTTCTCTCACTCTATCTTAGATCTCTTTTTTTTTTTTTTAAGTTTTTATTGTGAATTGAGTGATAGTTGACATGGGAGAACATCAGCTTTACATTCATCCAATCATATTTCATTTCATTAAAATGATTACAATCCCCCTCCGTTGCATCATCAATCAACACCATTTGTTTCCATTCCCTCTGGGTTGGTTTTTTTTTTTTTTGGATGTCCATGGAAGCACTCAGGAATATATAACCATTCAAACAACCAAAAGGCATACCCTGCAAGCCTGGCCCCCGGCCACCAGCACACAGCTCCTCTCCATCCTTGAGTCTAGAATCACCAGCTGCTCCATCTCTCCATATCTCTGCCTCCATCTCTGGCATCCTTGCTTCTCTAGATAGGGTCCCGCACTCCGCTCTTCTCCCTTGATGGTCCAGGGTCCTCCACTCCTGGACTGCAAGATCAACAACTCCCCTCCTTTTGTTACAAAACATCTTCCTGTACATTTGCAACATTCACAATCAGTCCTGATAACAATTATTCACTACTGAACCACAAGAGTCTTATCTCCATCTCCTTTTACCAGTCCTGTCTAGACAGGTTGGAAACCACTCAGTGGAGATTCTACCTTCCCCCACACCCTCTGAAACTAGGCTCCCTCTTGAAAACTTGTAAGCCAGTCATTTTGTGCCTTTTTAGCCCCCCAATTTGGGGTAGTCAATGTCTAAGTTGCCCATCCCTGTCAACCTTGTGTACAGAGGGGATGGGAATGATCCTTGCTGTAAAGATTA